TTCTGAATAGGATAAATTTTACCTGAGTTAGTGATTGAAAATGACAGAGACTTACTTGCTGGCTATCTAGACAGCTACCCCAGGGTCCTCCATGATTGTTGAGGGAAGAGGTATCAGAGCAACATCAGTCTTCTTCTCCCTGCCATGCCCCAGAAGATCCACCAGACTTTTACTTTTTTGACTAAGAACTTGTGGGAGGACCAAATTAGGCAACTTGAGGCAGTAGATTCCCCAGTGTCCTGTTATCCATGGTCTGAAGAGGTCTGGGCAGCATTTGAGGTGAAAGGCAGGGTTTGCTCGGTGGCTGGTGTTGCTAACCCTTGAAGCAAGTTCTGGGTAGAGATTATTCTGTACCCATCATATTGTTTGGAGGAAACAGAGGTGCTTTGAGGAGCTTATATGTCTCTCTATTATGAAAAGCTTTTTAATTAAACATTTTAAATGCCATATTCTGCAGATCTCTGAGCATTTAAGGACTGTCTATTAAGTATATCTGAGTAGACAAACTTGGTTTCTAATTACTTGGTCTAAGTTTAACCCTGAAGATTTATAGGGGACTAGATAAGACTTATCCCTGTAATTAATTACATCAGCACTAAGCATGACTTAACATTTTTATCACCACATAGAGTATATGCTACATCACATTAAATGACATATACAGTATGTTGTAACAGATTTCACCATGTATTTTTATCATCATATAAAAGTGCATACCAATACAAAACACTTGAGACTTGTTGCTTCCTTAGTCTAGAAGGAGACACAATCCACAGAGACCCCATAAAGACCAAGAAGTGTTATATAGTGTATTTTTTAAAACAATAGTTGGATCTAAACTGTAAGCACATATACCCATAATTAAATAATTAAATCCAGCTTATGCAGAATGAGAAAAGATCTTCACCAACCCCACATCTGACAGAGGGCTTCTGTCCAAAATATATGAAGAACTCAAGAAGCTAGTCACTAAAAACACCAAATGATCCCATTAAAAAGTGGGGTACATAACTAAATAGAGAATTATCAATACAGGATTCTAAAAAGGCTGAAAGACACTTAAGAAAGTGCTCAACATCCTTAGCCATCAGGGAAATGCAAATCAAAACAACTCTGAAACACCATCTTACTCCTGTCAGAATGGCTAAAATCAAAAAAACACCACTGACAGTTTCTGCTGAAGAGGATGTGGAGAAAGGGGAACACTCCTACACTATTGATGAGAGTACAAAATTTCACAGCCACTTTGGAAATCAGTATGTCAGTTCCTCAGGAAAATGGGAATCAGTCTGCCTCAAGATCCAGCAATTCTACTCTTAGGCATATAAATAAGTTGCACATTCATACAACAAGGACATCTGTTCAGCTATGTTCATAGAAACATTATTTGTAATAGCCAGACCTGGAAACAGCTTAGGTGCCCCTCAACTGAAGAAAGCATAAAGAAAATATGTTACATTTACACAATGGAATACTACTCAGTGAAAAACAAACAAACAAAAAACAGAATCTTGAAATTCGCAGGCAAATGGATGGAACTAGTAGAAACCATCCTGAGTGAGGTAACCCAGTCACAAAAAGACAAACATGGTATGTTCTCAATCATGTATGGGTTTTAGACATAGAGCAAAGGATCAACAGCCTGCAATTCACACTCCCAGAGAAGCTAGGATACCAGGAGGACCCCAAGAGAGACATACATGGTCCCCCAGAGACGAGGAAAGGGACAAGATCTCCTGAGCAAATTGGGAGCAGGGGAGTGGAAGGGAGAGGGAGTTAGGAGAAAGCAAAGGGGAGAAGAGGAGGCGAGAGGAGAGTATGAGGGAGCAGGAAGATTGAGTCAGGGAGAAGGAGAACAAGAAAAGAAATACCATAATAGAAGGAGCCATTGTAGGTTTAAAGAGAAATCTGGCATGAGGGAAATGTCCAGAGACATACAAGGATGACCCCAACTAAGAATCTAAGCAATAATGGAGAGGCTACCTTAAATGCCCTTCCCTCACAATGAGATCGATGACTACCTTATATGCCATCCTAGAGCCTTCATTCAGTAGCTAAAAGAGGCAGAAGCAGACACCCACAGCTAAACACTGAGCTGACCTCCTGGAATCCAGTTGCAGAGAGGGAGGAGTGATGAGCAATAGGGTCAAGAACAGGATGGAGAAATCCACAGAAACAGCTGACCTGAACAAGGGGGAGCTCATAGACCCCCAGATTGATGGCTGGGAAACCAGCATAGGACTGACCAGACCCCTTGAATGTGGGTCTCAGTTAGGAGACCTGGGCAGTGTATAGGACCTCTGATAGTGGAACCAGGGTGTATCCCAAGTGCATGAACAGACTTTGGGAGCCCATTCCTCATGGAGGGATACTCCTGTAACCTAAAGACATGGGGGAGGGCCTAGGCCCTACCCCAAAGGACTTGACAGATTTTGATGATCCCTCATGAAAGGTTAAGGAGAGAGAGAGAGCGAACAGAGAGAGAGCAAAGCCTTGCACCAGGACGTGGCAGTACCCCAGTCTTCGTGGATCCCCCCAAAGACTATCTTTGCCCCCAATTCAGCAGGAAGCAGTCTCTAGAACTCAACATTATCCTTATTCCCTAACCTGCCATGCCCAACCCCCACCTTTTTAATAACAATAAGAGGTGGGAATGTTAGGAACTAGCAGCCAGCTGACACCCCCCCCCCCCCCGCCCCAAGGATGGGCGGGACGCTCATGGCCATGTCATCCCTACCTCAGCTTTACCTGACGGCCAGAGGACTCAGTTACACATGTGCAAGCCTCTTTTAAAGCAAGCGCACCAAGTGCTTCTCTCTCTGCCTCTCTCTGCTTCTTTGCTCTCTCTTTGCTCTCTCTGTTCGCTCTCTTTCTCCTGCTTTCGGTTGGCCACCAGCTACCCCCTCTTTCTCTCCCCTCTCTCAATAAACTCCACGTGGGCGCTGAGTTTCGTGTTTGTGTTTCTTAGGCATTAGCTGCAGCAAAAGAATAACAATGTGGGTTCTAAAAATTTATCGTCCAGTAGAATCAGCTGGTAGTGGCCAACTTTGCTCTCTGACCTTGCAGGTCATTTTAGTCATGTCTGCTCTAGTCTGCTAGGCTTGTCATTGACATTCCGGCTGGGACTATGATATCTGTAGGTGAGGGACAGTCCTCTCCCTGGCTGTCAGCACTGCTCCAATAGATGGTAGCTGGCTCTACTTCCTTGAGGAGCCTAGACTGCTGAAGTGGAGAGGGCCAGGAAAGCTAGCCAGAAACTACTGTTGTGATTCCTGGAAAGGAGAGAACATGATCAGAAAGGGCCTGAAGCTCAGAGGAAACTTTTCCCAGGGTAGATACTAATTTACTGACAATAGCCACAAAGAGAATGACTACAAACAACATGACAATCAAACAGAGTTGAGGAGACATACAGAAGGAAAAATGCTGTGCCCAGGGACCCGAGAATCACAAAAGAGTCCCAAAGGGCAACAGATGAGCAATCCAATGGCCAGAAGGGTGATAGAAGTGTCCTGAATCCCCTCCAGCTCGGAGACCTTTGGCGAGTCAACCTATTCTTACTGAGCCTTCCTTTTTCTGGACATCAGAAACCAGAGGAAGAATACCACTTGTCCAAAACTGCAGAATAAAGGCTGCCAGAGGTGGGCCACCCCCACTCCCCAGAACCAGAATGGTGTAAAGTCCTGTGTTTGGGCACCAAGAATGTTGGGTAAGGGAAACTTGAAAATAATGGGGGAAAGATCACCAAAGTCTATAAAATCAGAAGCAACCTTTATTCCCCCAACCCCCTCTTAAAAAAAAAAAAAAAAAAAAAAAAAAAAAACCACAGCCCACAAATAGCTTAACAATTGACTAGGAGCACAGCCAGAGATCTGACTTCTGAAACTATGGCAATAGGGGCCTGTTTCAGGCCTCTTCTTATAGTAAAACCAAGCACCAGGTGTGGATAAAAGAGTTTTTACAAACTTGGTTCAGGCTTAATGTTTTACAACATTTGCTTATAGGATGTTAGGATGTTAACTTAGGATGTTTGCGAAAGCATGTGGCTGACACAGCCACTTTTCACTGTCCCTGAAAGGATTCTAGGCAGAGAGTTGAGTCATATAAGGGGACAGATAAAAATTAAGGAAATATAACACAGAGGGTCTCATAGAGGCATTAGTTAGAAGCTCACTTTGTCTGCCTTACCTGCCTAGCTAGGAAACTTGGAGGCAGGACACAGCTGTTTAAAGTTTACCTCTGTATACAGCGGCTACCGTGGTGTCAGCTCTTAAGGCATAAAGTGGTTGTTAAAGGTTAACAGTGGCTGCCAGCTTTGTAACTTTTTTTCCAAAATGTGTTTGGGCTTACAATTTTTTATTTTAGTATTCCTGGACCCTTCAGTTTTCATCCCCTTACAGTGTATTGAAGACAAATGAGCCATGTAAGTGGTCGTCTCTATACATCTGGTCAGAGCTTAACTTAACATGCTTACAAACACATATGTTGACATTTATGAATTGTCAACAAGAGAAATCGTTGCCTAAGTGCATCAGGATATGGGACTATGTACACTCCAGGTCAGCACCAGGCTTTCTGATAAGAAACTGTAGGAAGAGGTTCAGAGAGAGTCACACTGACTGGTGCTGATGAAGGAGCAAGTACAGTGACTGAGACATGAGGATTTGATGCTTTTAACTGAAGATGTGATGCTGTCCTGGAAAAGAAAGGGAAGGATAGAAAGGAGGTTACACAAGGCTGTTGGAAGGAAATATTTCCTTTCTGCTCTTCAGTAAAAGGAAAAAACAATCCTCTATCTGAAATTAGTCATTTGAGAGGACTTGAAAGTATGACAAAATGCTCCCTTTGCCATGTCACTAACTTCTTTCCATATTTCTCTCCTTTGTTCTTTTCCCTTACCATGAGGTCATTCATTCATCTCTGTACATTGTCCATGCTGATTTTCCCATTCTTTCTGGTCCCCCTTTTCCTTATCCCAGTCACACAGTTGTATGTTTCAGGAGTCAGGAAAGACCCAGAGTCACAGCAACAATGGCCTCATCAGTCCTGTTGATGATCAAGGAAGAGGTGACCTGTCCTATCTGCCTGGAGCTGCTGAAGGAACCTGTGAGTGCTGATTGTGACCATAGCTTCTGCCGAGCCTGCATCACACTGAACTATGAGTCTAGCAAAGTCAAAGAAGGTGTGGGTATCTGCCCTGTATGCCGACTTACTTACCTGTTTGAGAATCTGAGGCCTAATCGGCATGTGACCAACATAGTAGAAAGGCTCAAGGAGTTCAAGTCCAGCCCAGAGGAGGAGCAGAAGGTTCATGTCTGTGCTCAACATGGAGAAAAACTCCAGCTCTTCTGTGAGAAGGACATGGTGGCCATCTGCTGGCTTTGTGAGAGGTCTCAGGATCACCTTGGTCACCAAACAGCTCTCCTTGAGGAGGTGGCCTATAAGTATGAGGTAAGAAGTGGAAAATCTCCAGGTGGTGTGACAGGTCGATTACTAGGACATCGTATACTCAAGGTTGATATATCATTCCATCCTTTCTTATATTTAGAGTCCTAAAAAGACATGATGATTTATTCACCTTAGTCAAATGAGAAGCTGCCTGCACTACAAATACTAGGAAAAAAAGTTAGTTTTAGAACTATCCCTGTGAAGTTGAGTGGATGACAAAGAAAAGCCAAGAGCAGAACTTTTAATTTATTCCATCTTTATCTTCTTCCCATGTTAATGTCAGATTCACTCATACTCCCTAAAATCCAGTCTAGTGACCATCAGCAATGGGGTTAGTAATGAATGGCATACAGCAGTGAGGAGAATATGCATGTGACAGGTTTGTATTTGATAGGATGTTGTGTCTCTACCTGAATGGGGGGGGGGGGTTGTGTATAGGAAGACAAAAACTGAATGAGCTGGAGACTGAAGATTTACATAATTCAGTGCATAAATTATGGCACAAATTTGTAAAAAAGCTAACAGTCTTAATATTCCTGTCTTTTCACAAGGGGTTTTTTTTTTGGGGGGGGGGTTTTTTTGGTCCTTGCTTAAAACAACACTCCTACTAAGCACACAGCTTCACTCTGCTAAATTCATCTTCCACAGGGAATGCTCCAGGCAGTTCTGCAGACACAGATGGCAAATGAGAAAAGATGTGATGAATGGGAAAGTGACCTTCAAAAGGAGATAACATACTGGGAGGCAAGTGGGGACCTTTCCTAAGGGAGTTAGCCTGATGCCTGGGAGGCCCCTGGGCAAGAAGCTCCCTGACTCTTCATTCCCTTGTAATTACTGGGGCCAGGGTATCTTCATTAGTTCTCTGTACCTGATCCTTGGAACTAGGGTTGCACAGTGAGTGCAGCACAACTGAGCCTAGCTAAGTGAGGAGCTCACACCATGGAGGGGCCTGATGAGAATGGGCAGAGTCCTGGGTCTCACTCCTGTGCTGCTTTATGGAACTATGACTGTTGAGGAAGATGATTGGAAACAATCACAGTTCTGTCCTTGGGGGTATCTTCTCTCAGGGGTTCAGAGATATAACAGGAGTATTTAGGGCAGGAATAGGAGTCTGAACAGCTGTGTAAAAACTGAGCCACACTCAGGCAACCCACTTTGGCTCAGGTGGCCTTGGTAAAAGTGAACTAAGATCTTTGTTTTGGAATGTCATGAACAGACACTGATAGGAGATACATGCTTCCTTAAGACTCCCTTTCCTTTCCAAACTCAGTTCCCTGTGAGAAGTCTCCATCACAACAGTGGTTTTCTGTCCCCCAGTCCCATAAGGACAGTCTCAATTCCTCTCCTTTTCTTATCCCTCAAGGACCAAATACACAGTGAGGAAGAAAATGTTCAGATGGAGTTTAAAGGACTGCAGGAGTTCCTGGACTCCACGAAGAAGAATGAGCTGCAGAAGTTGATGCAAGAGAAGGAAGACATTATGAACAGCCTGTCAGAGTCTCAAAATGAGCTGGTGAAGCAGAGGGAGGCAGTGAGAGACCTCATCTCAGATGTGGAGCATCAGTTGCAGTGCTCAACCATGGAAATGCTGCAGGTAAGACTGCAGGAGATCCCAGCATCTGAGAGTCAGGAGACCTGGAAGTCATTTCATTCCCTGAGTGCTACTGTGATCTTCCTGGTGAGGACAGTAGGGCTCTGTGTGCCCTCCCTGAACTCTTTCCTGAGCCAGATTCAGAGGCTGGGGAATCATTGCATGAATGGATGGCAAAGAGAGATTATATGTTTTTGATTATCAAGTACAATACAGAAGCTGAATCCTGTAGAGATCTGTTGCATTATGTGTGGTGTACATTTTCAATTGTCATTATCACTTCACATGGATTTAAAATTAGTAGAAATTATTTCTCCCCTTGGATGTTTGGGGATTTTCACCCCCACTGCCTCTGAGTCCAGTGGTGTGGTCAGTGGGAAGGGAGTTACAATTCAAGATCTCAGAAAGTTTCTCCTACCTCTGTCTTTGAATTTCTGAGATGAATTGTGACTTTTTTATCCTTACAGATGTAAAGATTGTATTGTAATGCATCTCTAAAACATGTTTAAATAATTTAAATCAAAGTCATATTGTGGTGATGAGTATCTCAGTAGGAATTTGTTTCTTTTATTTCAATTGTCAATATAGTAGATCTTGGTGGTACTAGGAACTTCTCATACTGCATTAATTTATTGTTTCCATTATATTGATTTAATTATTACTGGTAACACTCATTCATCAACATTATTAGGTGGATTTTCCATACAGACTAAACCAAGCTACTTCACATAGATACTAACTACAACTATCATATTCTACAAGCCTGAAATTATATCTGTAGACCAAAGAATCTGTTCACCTTTCTCTGCTTCCAGCCCCTGATGTCACACATTCTAATCTTTACTTTGTGGGATCAATTTTTCACATGACACATATTTAAATGGTAACACTTAGCATTGACTTTAATTTTTCCTGTGCCCAGCTGGTTTAGTGTCACATAAATACTCTGACTTCAGCCAAGGTACCACAAATGACAATAATTCTTGCTTTGCATGCATAATATCTTAACATATATACTTATCATATCATTTTATCCATTCCTCTGTTGATTAGTTCTCTAGTTGTTTCTATTTTATCTACTATGATAATATACATGCCTCTCTGAGAACAAGTTTACTCCTCCCCAGAATTCCTTTTACTATGGGATCTACTGTTGTTGATTTATATTATATAAAATAAAGCCATGTGTAGCCAAGTATCTACTGCCTGTGATCCCAGGATTTGAGCGCTTCTCATACACAGTCACAAAAACATGAGAAGCACATAATAATGAAAATTATATATAAGTTTCCCACCTATACCCAAGTGCTAGCTCATTCCTTTAATCCCAGCAGTTGGAATGCAGAAATAAATGAAGCTACATGGGTTCATGGCCAGCCCTGATCTATATAGTGAGTTTCTGGCTAACAGTGTTACATATGGGAAACCACAACTGGCCAAGGTAGAGATTGTAAGAGAATACAGAAAATCCAGGGTTAAATGGAATTTATATAAACCACCACTATATTAAAGGCCCAGAGATCATTGCAGAAGAAGGGGCAGAAGGAGTGTAGGAGCCAGAGGTGATGAAGGTCTATAAGAAAAAAGTGTCTTCTGGACATAGCTTAGCAGCAACACCTATTAACTGAATTGGTTGTGACACCAAACTGAAGACCTGTGCAAGCCTAAACCACACCAACTTTGATTATAGAAAGTGGATTTAGGAAGTCCAACCACACCCAAGGAGCTTCTGGTAATTGTTAGCTGTCTGGAGAAGGGTCACATTATTCAAAGAATGTAACTTCAGTAAAATCTATCAATATCCACTGAAATGCAAATATGCAAGAACACTTGCATATATTGGGTCTCAAACCCAGGAAAAAATAGCTGACTGACGTGCCTACTTAACATATCAAAGTGGATCTGGTGAATCAAGTCTTGATATCTGTCCCGTATAAAAGAATCACGTTAATATTAGAACACAGAAAAAGGATATTTGTTAGTTTGGCCATGCTTTGGAAATGAATAAAGATTTTAAAACCCCTCTGTCTATCTTCAGTTATCGTAAGAGATCAAGTTTAAATAGAGAGTCAAGAATATGCACATATGAGTAGTCCAGATCCAGTTGCAGTCCTGTCCATCATTCTCCCATTGTTATCTGGGTCATAGACTTGTATTTTAAGGTGGGCTGGCAAGGAATTAAAACGGCTTGAAATCTGTTTAGGAGCACAGCTAGAATTGTTTTCTTTCTCCTACTATGAGATTCCTGAAGAAAGTGCCACTTTGGGGATGAGAGTCATTGTTTAAATGGTGTGTCAACTAGAAAGAACACATTTCCCTTTAGATTAATTTATTTTCCTGCCAGGACAATTACAGAGAAAGAAAAAAAAATAGAAAGTGAGATATGATTAATTGGTTTTAAGTTATCAAACAATCTCAGCTTCTGGTTCTTGTTGCTTCTCCACTACTAATTTTTTAAATTGTGTCTAAATGACTAAAATAATTTGGAAATCATCTTCTCAGACATGTTAGTTGCAAGTAAGGTAATAAAAAGCGATCATGTAGCAAGTGGAAAGTCTTATACTTTTGTGTTTAGTTATATACACCGCAAAACTTATGGAAGCTTTCAAACTATTGTTTATTCATCTTTGGTCTCCAAAACCTTTCAGTATGAGACAGAAATTAGTCTACTAGTTTACATGTAAGTCAAGTAAAGAGCCATGCACCGTATTTATATCATGTCTTGGCGAACTGGGGCTGGGAACAGAGGGGCGGGGGAGAGACTGGATTGTTTCTCTTTTGACTTTGTCGCTCTAGCTAGTGAAAGTGTGACCAGGGTGTGCAAGAACATGCAGAACATGCTATTAACTGTGTTTTCTCCCTCCTCCCTAGGGTGTGAATTCTGTCCTAAAAAGGTACGTGTGGGCTGATTGGGAAGATTAGCCCTGTTGCAGGATGAGAATGATTTCGTGTCCAACTAGAATAAAAGTCTCAGAGGCCTGGAGGATTTAGACAAAGTGTTATTCTGAGATTCCAGTAAGAAGGAGGAGGAGGGGAAAGGCAGGGTCAGGCTGTGTTGTAACTACTGAGAACAGATTTATTCTCTTTTAGGGGACTGGGTTATAGGGAGTCCAGAGTTAGTGTCAGCAATGGGATAAGGCAAATGGAGCCACAGGTGCTTTCAGACTATTTATGGTTCCTTCATTCTGTCCACACTATGTGCTTTCATTTGGCTCCGTCTGCAGTTAACAAGACTTGATTCATAGATTCATCCAAGGTAGGGTGTGTCTTCCTTGTCTGCAATGTTGGCAGAATTGCATGTTGTGAAAATTCCTGTGGATCTGTGTGTTTTTCATGGGGATGGAAGAGATACAGAGTTCCTTTGTTGTTGTACTTAGCTTTTTCAGAAACAGGCTTGAGCTTGTGAACACAGCTGTTCCACATGAGCCACATACTTCAGAAGATGGGAAAGCTTTACCTTTGTATGTAGAGTCACACCAGGCTATCAGTATCTGGCTTGTTCTGAACATATGGGACTTGTGTTATTATTTTGGTGCTCCTCCTTTGCCAAAATTGTCATCTTAAAAAAGAACTTGAACATTTAGAAGCTGGCAAGAGTGTCCATATTGACAGAAGTATTTGATGTTTTGGCTTTTTCCAGATGGTTTTCTCACACTCATGACTGTTTTACCCAGGAGCAGCTTCTGAATCGCCTACTTTAGACTGTCCATGAAAACCAACTTTCTTTCTTTCCTTCTTTCTTTCTTTTTTTTTTCTTTCTTCCTTCCTTCCTTTTTTCCTTCCTTCCTTTCTTTCTCCTTTATTCCTTTCAGTCTCTCTGTCTCTCTGCCTCTTCAGTTAGGGTTTCTCTGTGTAGCCTTAGCTTGCCTGAAACTCACTCTGTATACCAGGCTGACCCAGAAATCCTCCTGACTCTACCCCTTAAGGACAGGGATTAAATGCCTGTGACTTCATGCTCAGCCCACGTATCATTTTTTAACTACCTTATGTTGATTGCTTTTTAAACTCAGTAATTCATTATTTCATAAGAGTTCTAGGAGGGAGAGTGGGGGAACAAGTTTTTTTTAATTGTAAAATGAGTAACTCTGCTCCTGAGGAGTAGGGCTTTCCTGCATCACACAGCAAGTAAGTGGTGTGTAGGGGGTTGGGGTGGGGCAGTATGTCTACAAAGTTAGTAGCCTATGCTCTATTTCCCTTCTCAGATTTCTCAGGAGAATTCTAGGGACATCTATAGTTAGAATGGAAGGGAATCAGAGGTGGTCAAAGGTCATACTATCTGAGATGTGAAGGTCAATCTTTTGTCCCCAGGAGTCAGACCTTAAGAGTGATACTACCCACAATGGTCCCAAGAAAACAGAGAAGGGTCTTCCGAGCTCCAGATGTGAAAGGCATGCTGCAAGTGTTTCAAGGTGAGAGCAGCAGCATTCTGTGGTTAACTGGGGGATTCTGCCTGTGGGTGGGGCCACATCTCTGGGAAGAGAATGATGTTTCTGTACATGGGTAGAGAGACTCAGAAGAACAGATAGTGTGCCCCAGTGATGACATTGTATTTCATGGGAAATCGTCATCCATCCCATCCTATATCACAATTTACAATATTTCCCCTACTCTGCAGAGGAGATTGATTTTAATGTTTTGATTCCCTTTCTGGCATTTAATGCTATGAATTTTCATCATTTCAGGCCTCATGGATGCCCAACGCTACTGGGGTAAGGAGAAATCACACTATATGCCACTCTCTTCTTAATGCCTTTCAGAGTTAATTTCTCCATTAAACCTGGTGTTTCATGTTATTTCTGCCAATATACACAGCAGTTTACCTCTTCTTGACTTTAAACACAGATTCTCCAAGTGCCCTCTCACTTTCTTCTTAGGCTTCTGCTCCTTACATCACAAACAAGACTGTACATTGTCTCATGTGACTCAACATCTATGTCTCATTTTTCTGCAGTTCATGTGACCCTGCGTCAAGTGCAAAATAAAAATGTTGTCATTAACATGGAAAAAAGACAAATACATCAATACGGTCATAGAAGAAATTTGCAAGATTATGAGACCTACGATTTAGGTGTCCTTGGAATTCCAGCCATCCAATCAGGGAAATGTTACTGGGAAGTAGATGTGTCTAGAAGTGATAACTGGCTCCTAGGATTAAATGATGGAAAATGTGCTCAACCCAAACTTCATTCACAGAATAAAAAGGGCATCAAAGTCAAACAGAATTTTGGTGTTAAACAACATGGAAATTATCAACCTAATTTATGTAATTCATTCAAATTTTATGGTGATTATGAACAAGATTATTATCAGCCTCAATATGAAATTAAAGACAATTCTGATGCTGGTCAGCATGTAAATTATCAACCTAAACATGGCTACTGGGTTATAGGTAAGAGGAATAGGTCAGGATATAATGCCTTTGAAGAGTGTTCTGTCACCCACAATGCAAGTGTCTTGGTCCTCTCTCTGATTCCTCCTCCTAGTCGTGTTGGAGTTTTCCTGGACAGAGAAGCTTGTACTCTCTCATTTTATGATGTTTCTAACCATGGAGCACTCATCTATAAATTCTATGAACCTTCCTTCCCTAAATCAGTGTATCCATATTTTAATCCTATGGAATCATCAGAGCCAATGACAGTCTGTGGGCCACCATCCTAAACCCTCACCTATATCTGTACAGTGCCCCTAGGCCTCATGTGTACCATATGCCTGAACTCTGTGGGATCATAACTCTTTTTCTATATTTGGTTGCAGGGAACCTTGGGGTTGCCTTGGCCTAGCTGCTTTGAGAAGCATATGCCATAGGTTTCCCAGGTTAGAGTCCATGGCTCCTGGGGTACAATGTGACATCCATTTCCTGAGAGACCAATGCACTCCTTCAGGCAGTGAAGTGTTCAGGTCATTGTAGGATTCTCTGTATGTTCCATTAGTATTCAAGGAACCAGGGATGCTTGACAGCATGATTGGTCTTAGACATTAATCTTGTGTACCCTGTATGACTTTCAACCTTGTTTCCTGCAAATACAACTGTATTGATCCTGGAGATTTCCATTATATTCTGTTTCTGATAAAGGTATAAAAAGACTGATTGCTCTCAATAAAATGTCACAGCTTTAGTCTTGCTGTGGCTCCTCCAGTGTAAGCCTGGTTTCATTCCTTGTGGCCATACCAGGTGACCTAGGTCAGTAAGTAAGCACTGGTACCACTTCTCATAGGAACAGTATGGATTCTTCAGTTGCTTGCCTGTCTGCAAGGCAATAGTAACTCATCATCTTCCTTATTAAGAGAGGTAAGATGTTTGCTACCCTCCACCTCCTGTTTTGTGGTACCACAGATGGGATCCAGGGTCTTGTACATGCTGAGGAGATAGTCTGCCACTGAGTCACTTGTCTCAGCTCAGCCATGTCTCCACAACCACATTCCTCTGTCACTGAAAAAAGATAAAAGAAAGGTCTTGTCCAGCTCATCTATTAGTTTTGGAATTTATATGTAGGAGTCTCTATCATAGGAATGAGCCCTTAGTGGTAAAACAGTTTAATCACAATGCTTGTGCTTCATCAGAACTTAAGCTGGAAACATCTCTGATGGTACCCACTAAGATTGTGTGTTCAGAGTACCTGGTTCTATCTATTCCTGCCACTCGACATAGCAATGTCACCCTGAATAACATCCTCAAAAGCCTATGCTTTGTGGATTTTTTTTTTGTTTTGGTTTTTTGTTTGTTTGTTTGGATTATATTGTTTGTTGGTTTTCTTTACAATTTCACACATACTACGTAGGTCAGTAAAAGAAAATAAATTTTAAATCTGTTAGAAGATTCTGAGGGTAAAAGCATTTTCCTCAAAGACTTCAGTACAGTCATTTAATCCACATGATAGAAGGAGACAGCCAGCATGTACAGATTAACCTCTATGTTCATCCATATGCTACAGTACACACAGGTGTAGGCACATACATAAATGTAAAATGAATTATGTAATTTTTTTTAAAAAAAAGATAAAATTGGTTGCATATAATGTGCTCATTGCACACTCTGTAAATGGTTGGTCTGTTAATCACTGGGGAGATGTCCTGGACTGGTGTTTTGTGCAAATATGGTTACCTGGGAGGAACAAAGATTTCACTTTCCTAATGTCTTGCTGTTAGATACTGGAATCTGCCATCAGGTCTACTCAAATACGTTGTAGATATGTATGATTATTTTTTGGTTTTCACATTCATTTTTTGAGACGTTAATTGTTGTGGAAGTCTACTTGTTTCTTGTCAAGTATGTTAAATCCTATCATTTTCCATTCTACAGTGAATGATAGTGATGACAATGATACCTGTAAACTTAGTGCTATATTGTGAAATGTAAACTACAGAATGTATTTAGGAACTTATGGCATGTAAGTGGTATTCCCTTGGTGTCTGTTTTGTCTCCTTCTCACTGTGATGGTAATAAAGGATTATTGAGATTGAGTACCAGAACCTGGCATGGTGGTTTGGATTTGATCCCAGCACTCAAGAGGTAAAGACAGGACATTGCTGTGCATCTGAGTCCAGGCTCAGTTACAGAGTCAGATCCCACTCTGTGTTGTTTTGCTTTTAAAGAGGAAATGTGCCAGGTTTGGAATGAGGGAGTTGATTCAGGAGCACACTGTAAGGAATTACTGGGCAATAAAGAGTTTATTTGCAGTTAGACTGCCAAAGAGAGAGATAGACAGACAGAGAGGACACAGCATGTTGAGAGGTCCAAGAGGAGTTTAGGCCCCAGCACTAGAAAAATTTGAATTGAGGGATGGCTGAAGAGTATCACCTACCCTATGGTAGAAGACCAAGATTCTTCTTACACCTTTTATGATGGGGGTGGGTGTAGGTTCACAGCAGCCAGGCTCTCTGGTTGTAGACAGGAGGCAGGGCAGACATGTGACACAGGACAGGGCACCCATTCATGAATACTTACTTAGGTTAGTGTGGCACCTCCAAACCAGCTACTGGGGACCCATTTTGAGTAGAGCTCTACTATGTCTCTATCTGTGACAGCAGCAAGGCAGTTACAAGGCAGCATGTAGATTGGAGATTCTAGCATTACATGCTGGCAGAGTTTGCATCAGCCACTCAAAAATATCACCATGCTGTGTTTTAAGAATTAGAATACCCTGGTTAGAGAGATGGCTTATCAGTTTTTTAGCACTGACTGCTTGCTCTTCCAGTGGTCCCAAGATAAATTCTCAGCACCCGTATGGTAGCTAAGTGTCTTTAACTCCAAGATCTGCCTCCCTCACACAGACTTACATGCAGGGGAAAAAAAAAATCAATGCAAGTAAAATAAAAATATATAAGTTACTTAAAAAATTAGAATTATTGTATTATAAAATCACAGGTATTTTTACTTTTATCAAATTATAAATTCATTGCTCTAACACCTGTACTCAACAGTTTGAGGGAGAAGTACTGTCAGGAGATGGGGACCACCCTAAACACTAGAGCTCCAACTCAGTCTAACATGTCCAGTAAGACCCTGACTCCAAAACAACACCAGACAAACTTGTAAAGAATTTTACATAGTTATTAACTATTAAGAAGAATGAGAACATCATAACATTGACTGACAGCCATTGTGTTCACAGCAAGAGCAACAGTTAAGTCTCTCGACCTCATCAAGATGTAAAGTATGGGTATGGGTGTAGCTCAGAGATGGAGCACTCACCCAGCATTCACAAGGTCCTGGTTTCAATCCCTGAAATGCAAAGATCAAACGAAAACAACAAAAGCAAAAGTCCTTGGTCTCAGCACTGGGGAGGCTGAGAGAGTAAAACTCAGACAGAAGTCAGGCTGGGGTGTACATGAGAGCATGTCTGTAAAGAACACAAGTAAAAGGAGGAGAAAACAAGTATGTTAAACAAAACTTAAACTACAGTGTAATGTCTTAACTTTCATTCCTCTTCTGGCTCACCAGAGATCTGACTTAGGGACGGAATCCTCAGGACACTTACTGTGGCCTCCATTCACTTCTCTCCACAGAGTTGGGACCTCTTGGTTGTCCTCTGAAGGTATGAGAACAAATTTAGAGGACAGAATTTGGAAGAATTTAGAAGAAATCATGGGGCTCACTCCTCTTCTAAGCTACGTGTCTCTATCTACGTGTCTCTGTGTATTTACCCATGATTCTATGGGTTCGTTCCCTTTGCTTTTGACTCTGTGATTAGAATATTCAATCCTTATGCAGCCTCTCACACATTTACTTGTACTATCAAACAGTCTCAAGTTTGTAGGGAATTGCTAATGTTCCTTAAAAATCATTGTATTTACCTGCCCTTTCCCTTGGCCCATGTTGCCATGGCTAAATGAAAAACAGCCCAGACCAAAACAAACAAACAAACAAACAAACAAAAAAGAGACTGTAGAAACAAACTACTCTTAAGGCTACATGTCCAGCAGTAGATGGCTAACAGAAAAGTGAACTCAAGGGCACCTTTTGAAATTCTTTGTCTCATAATGTTGTAGTATGATATTTTTCAGTTTTACAGATCCATTAAGTATATATTACACTTTCAAGTTTTGGTCTTTATGGGATTCCTGTGGGTGTGAATATGTATGTTTCTGTGTCTATATGTATTTTCGTTATTTTTATTGTTGTTGTTTCTTTTTCCTATGTTTGTTTTCTTTGTTTTAGTCTAATTGGTTTCTTTTAGTTTTTATCTTATTTTGTTATTATCCTTAGATGCCTGTTCATTTTCTAACAAGAGACAGAAAGGAGGTGGATGGGAGGGGAGGTGGAGAGGAACTGGAAGGAGTTACTGGAATTTAAACCATAATTAGAATGTATTATATGATAAAAATTATTTTTAAAACATCTTTTTTTTAATAAAAGAGGAGAGTTTATATTGTAAATATAAACTTCATTTTGCATGGCTTCTCTAAAATAACTTGGCACTTCTGTTGTTCATTCATATATTACATAATATGATCTGTATTGGTAAATAATTCTATTTCACTGTTGATTAGTTTTCCTTTGTATGAGTGTATGCAATGATCTTATTTATGGTTCTATTGATTGATACTGTTTTTGGCATTTTAGATGTTAACAAATAAAGACATGTTATAAGCATACATGTATAAGCCTTCTTGTAGATATATCTGTTATTTAACTTGTAAATTTGCCTGGATTCCTTTGTTGTAAGATATTAGTTATATACGATTATAGATTACATTATGACATTTACCACACATATGCATAGTGTATTTTGACTGAATGTACCATCCCCACTTTTCTTTTTATTCCTGCTTGCTTCCTGTTGATTTCATTCCTCTTCCCAACTAGTCTCCTTCCATTTTCACAAGTTAGGAGTTATTAGAGTTTCTTACAGGAGCCTCACCAGGAGCTAAACCATGGAAGAAAACATCTCACACTCCAGGGAAGCAACAGTTCCTGCCTATAAATCCTCAGGATGGGTTGGACCTTGGGAACTCCTCCCACCTCTGTTAACTGAATGTTGACAGGCTCAGGTCTGGTTTAGGTAAGCAGCGGTGGTAACGGTCCATGAGTGCATGAGAACAAAGGAAGAGTTTGTGAGTGCCATGGCAATGTCATGTTTTGATGCCAACATTCTTCTACATTCCTCCTCTTCCTCCAGCTCTGACATACTGTCCACTTCTGCTGTATTTCCTGTTATCACATTCTTGGCAAGACTTGAATTTTTAAAGACACTGCAGTGTTGCATTTCAGAGGGGTGTATGGCTTTTTAATTGTGACTTTTATTTATGTATGTAATAATAAGAACCTTTGACATGTACAAACTGGATATTTTATATAATAGATTTGGCTATCCTGTTGGCTATGACATTTGATCACTATGTGGCTATCTGGCTGCCCTTGAGGTACAACATTAGAGGTTACTGAGCAGTTTGGGTACTGTGGCATTGGACAAGATGAGGTCTGTGCTGGCCAGCATGGACAGGAATATAAACATGGGCTCATGGAGGCTCTGCTCCACTGCAGTCAGGTAGAGGAGGATACAATTGCCTACAATAGCCATAACATAGATGACACAAAAGGGAATCCCAATCCAGATGTGGAACTTTTCCAATCCAGTTATCCCAACAAGGATGAAGGAAGGTGGGTTGTAACAGTTTAGGTTGTACATGGCCTCTGTGGTATCTGTGATCCTTGAGCCTGAGGACAGAGATTCTTTCCTAACCATTTATGACAAGGAACAGTTCATTCTAATGCGGAGTGTTGGTGACAAGTCAGCACTCCTGCAGGAAGCTCTTCCTATTTCTAAGATGAAGAAATACTTGCAGGTTGATTATCGCTCATTCATTTGCCAATGGCTTCACTTGATTTTGGCATGTATTTATATTGGTTAATAAGCAATATATAAAGGTCTTTATGTAAGTCAGAAATTGCTTGTGATTAAGATTCTTTAAATTAGGCCAGTTTTAAAAAGGAGGGAGATGCACATGTCAGGAGAGAAAGGAGAGATGTGAGGAAGAAGAGTGAAAAGATAAAAAATATACCTATTTAAAATGCTATACTTGGAGTGGAGAATTGGCTTAGAGGTTAAGATAGAGTACTGCTCTTCCAGAGACATTGAATTCTGTTCTCAGCACCCTTGTAGGGCAGATCACAATCTTCTGCAACTCCAGCTCCATCTGACCACCACAGCCTTCACTACATAATTATATGCACACAGGCAACTCACAAATATACAATTCTTAACAAAATGAGCTTTTTGAAATAGATACCATCAGGTAAGTTGCATTATTAAAAATCATCACTTGGGATAGGCATGGGGGAAGATACCTGTAACCACAACACTTGGGAAGTGAAAACAGATCACCAGGAGTTCAAGGCTACATGAGATCCTGTCTGACAACAACTACATCAACACACACACACACACACACACACACACACACACACACACACACAAATAACCATAGGGCATTCCAAACTGTATCCATAAAATTTAAGTAATTAAGATTTATTTACCTAAATAAAATGGATTGTCATAAAATACACAGAGATTACATGTTCTTTGCAATTTGTGCCCAGTACTTTCAGTCAGAACAGGAAATGTTAAATATCAGTAATGGTTGATTCAACTGTTATATATAGAATTACACAGGCCATGGAATCCAAGTATTTAGCTAACTACCTGTTGCAGTGTGGCTATAAAGAAGGTATAAACATAAATTAATATTTCAACCTGTAAATTTCAGTGAAGTATGGTAGCTTTCATGACACAGCTAGAGCCCACCCCAGAGTAGAAATAGCTGGGATCAAAGGCCCGCAGTTTCAGCTGCTTGATCCTGAAGGCAGGAGACCATCCTGGGCGACATAGGGAGTCTCCAGCTTGATACAAAGAGAGGAGAAAATGGAAAGGAAGTGGAATGCAGAGACCAAAGGGGAGAGAGTAGGGATAAGAAAAAAAAGAACAGAGCAAGGGAAATGAAGTCCAGAAAGTGGGAGAGGAGTTTACTTA